CTTCTACTTTCTCTTTTTCTTTTATCATGTGTATGTACCTATCCCGTATAGAAAAAGACTTAGGTATGTATATACGACTTAGCTTGACCATTGTAGTCACGCTCGGCAAAGGAGCTTTTCTTCGATCGTACCTTGCGACAAAACCGTATCGCTGGTGTACACGTATGTATGTAAGTTCTAAAACACGTTACAAAAGAAACGAGAAAAAAAGAAAAAGAAAAAAAGAAAAAAAAGAAAAAAAAGAAAAAAAAAAGAAAGAGAGAAAGAAGAAAAAGAAGGAAAAAAGTTCTTTTCCACAAGCTCTTCGTTTATCCTTAAATTTCATCGTCCTCGTAGAAAAATTCTAACGTTTAGATGTAACTTTGCAGACACACGTACTGCCTCTGTTTATTTCCTTCTCCATTGATTCTCTTTAGGATAGAATGCGAGAAAGAGAGACAGAGACAGAGACAAACACAGACAGACAGACAGACAGACAGACAGACAGACAGAGAGAGAGAGAGAGAAAGAAAGAGGGAGAGAGAGAGAGAGAGAGAGAGAGAGAGAGAGAGAGAGAAAAAGGAGAGGGAGAAAGGTAGTCTGGTAGCCGTCGCTCTTGGGATTGTTTATAAGACTTCCGGTGGCTGGCACGCTTTTCAGAACTCACCCTCTCTCTCACCCTCTCACCCTCTCTCTCTCTCTCTCTCTCTCTCTCTCTCTCTCTCTCTCTCTCTTTCTCTTTCTATCTTTCTCGGGGCAACTCGATGCCAGACAACAAGGGAGATTGTATGTATTACCTCGGCTGTCTGCCGCACGCTTGCCCCGGCTCTTCCCAATCTACTTTCGAATCTCACCACGACCGATACAAGGCACACTGGCAACCAAGCAAGCACAAGCGAAGCACAAGCAAGCAAGCAAGCAAGCAGCAGCAGCCACTGCCGTGCACATTCTCGGCTAGCAATGCAATGCGATCAAATCGAACTCGAGCCCTCCTGTCACGAGCCTGCGATCCTTCTATACCTCTCTCTAACACACACACACACACATACACACACATAGAAAATGAAAAACGCAAAACAAACAAAACACAACACATACATAAATTCCTCCTCTCTATCCATCTTCTTTTGTCTTTCTCTTTTTTATTTTTTTCACGCAATATTTCATTCCTATCTTTATTCTTCATCTCGTATATAATAATAAGAGATAAGAATAAGGAAATGAATAAGAATAAGAATAAGAATAAGAATAATAATAATGATGATGATGATGACGATGATGATGATGATGATGATGATGATGATAAAAATAATAATAAGAATGAGAATAAGTTATGCAAGAATAGACGAAGCAAGAAATAGATCAAGTACGAATAGGTCAAGCATAAATATATGAAGCAAGAATAGATCGAGTATGAATAGGTCAAGCATGAATAAATCAGACAAGAGAAGTCTAATTCCTTGAAACAACAATCATTCTTATTCTATTCACTGTCGTCTCTGATGAAAATTACAAGAAAATTATTAACGAATCCTATTAATTATTAATCCTGTTTTTATCTGTCTGTCTGTTCGTCTGTCTGTTTCTCTCTGTAATTTTTTTTTTTTCAATCTCATTAATTCAACCGTACTGTTTTGATTTATTAAATCTATTCTACGTAAAAATGAAGAAAAGTAATACTGTTGGATCGTCGTTATAGTTGAAAAAAAAAAGAAAAGAAAAAAGATTGAAAAAAAGAGAAAAATAAAATGAAAGGAAAAAAAAAAGGAAAAGTGGATTATGCTAATTGGAAAAAGAATCTTCAACGCGAAGACAAATAATATTACATGAATATATTTTATTAATTTTTATCATTCTCTTTTTCTTCTCTTTTAATTTTATCCACGCGAATGAGAGACAACTATGATATTTTTTCTTTTTTTTTAATGTAATTTTATATAAAAAGTGGGAGGATGGGGGAGGAAGAAGGAGAAAAAGAGAGAGATAAAGAGAGAAAGAGAGAGAGAGAGAAAGAGAGAGAGAAAAAGTGGCAAAGATTTATTCGATTATCGAGCGTAGATTAGAAGGAAAGTAGCGATGAAGAAGGGGGAGATTAGAAGGAAAAAGAAAACGAGAGCGATTAATCACGTTTTGCTCGGGCCAAGCAATTTGGCCGGAAGGCTCGTTGTTTTCAGATAAGGGAGAGTGGGAGGGAGCAAAAGGAAGAGAGGAAGAAAAAAAGGAGGAGGAGGAAGAGAAGAAGAAGAAGAAGAAGGCTTGGGGAGACGGAAACGAAGAAAAAGGGAAAGGGTTCTTCTTCTTTGCGTCGAACAATCGGATCGACCACGTTATGGACAAACAATCTTATCTGTTGCCGCAAAGAGAGATCGAATTTCCACCCTTCTCTCTCTCTCTCTCTCTCTCTTCTCACCCTCCCTTTTTCTTATCCGCCCCTTTTCACAACGTTTCTTTCCTTCGTGAGAATTCGTTCGAACAAAACCGAGCGTAACGTTTATCGAAGAAAATACTTGTGCTTTCGAAAACTTTATCGCGAATAGAAAAAAAAAAAAAAAAAAAACGAAAAAAAAACTACTGTATTAGATAAAACATATATTCGTTATTTGACAATTGAAATTAAATACGATAATTATGTAATTAATAAAATTTTAAAGAATTGATTTGGATTAAGAGATCGTATATCTAGAAAAATTTTTCTTCATAAACATTTTATTATCTCATTTTTATCATAATTATTTATTATTTTCATCCCTTTTCGTTAATATTTATACATTAACTATGATACTCCTTTTCTTCTTCTTTCACGTAATATATTTTTCCTTTATTCATTCCTTTTTGTCATAGTATTTTACTACTATGATATTTATTTTCACTTTTATCGTAACGTTTACATCATTTTTTTATCATATCACGTTATATTTATAAACGTGCTATATCCATTGGACCAGTTAAAGGATGAATTGAAGATGGAAAAAAGGAAAAGAAAAATATGGAAATGATAGTACGTTGACATTTCTAAATAAATAAATAAATAAATAAATAAATAAATAAATAAATAAATAAAAAATCTGGATGTATATATTAGAGATCATTAACGAAGTCGTACAAAAAAAAAAAAAAACAAAAAAAAGAAAAATAAGGAGAATCGAATTGTATTAGAACTTTATCCGATGCTAAATTGTCTCGGAGATATGATGATCGATTATATAAGAAAAAAAAAAAAAAAAAAGAAAAAATAATAAGAGAGAGACAGAGAAAAGGATCAAGAAGAGAAGAAGGGAAGAAAAAGAGAGTGAGAGAGAGAGAGAGAGAAAGTAAAAGATCAAATTCGTTTTCTGATTTCATGCGATCGCGTTGCTTGGTAAGACGTAATGAAATTCTAAGAAGGAATAGGAGAAAACGGATCGAGGAGAGGACGGAAATCAGACGCAGACGGTTTTCCTCTCGCACGGAAAAGCATTCTCGAGGCCGCTCGCGGCAATTTAATTCGAACGACAAGCACAGCGCTGTTCGCGACGCACTGCCTCCACTTCGTCGAATAAACATCAGCACCAGAAGTTGACCAGGGATCGTTTCTACATATATATGTGTGTGTATATGTAAGTATATATATATACATATATATATGTATATGTAAGATATATACATACACATAGTAAATCTATTTCCTCAGGATCGTATAACACGGGTTCGGCATTGCGCATCTCTCGTCTGTTCAGGACATCGTCGTTGGCAGAAACGACTGATTTTCCTATCTACCCCACCTCTTCTAACTCTCAAACTCCCCCTCTCAAACTCTCAGACTCGACCAAAGGCTCTTCCCTGACCTCTTACATTTTCCTATATCTACTTTACTCTAATCTCGCTATTTTTATACCTTATTGTTCTATATATTTACTACGTTTTCTATTATACTATTGAATATGTATGTATACAGAAATATTAATCTCTTTCTCTCTCTCTCTCTCTCTCTATATATATATATATATATATATATATATATATATATATATATATATATATATATTACTCGTTTTCTTTTGCAACATTATTATATGCATTGATTTATCATATCAATTAATTAATTTAAATCGATACAACAGTTCTTAGATCAATTTGATAGATCAATGATTATCACTAGGAACGGAATAATGTATATTGTTTAATTAATTTTCACATTACTTTTTATTTCTTTAATTCGTAACGATATATATGTATTATAAAATTATTTTATAGAATATATAAGTCAATAAAAATGTATATATAGGTCGATTCAATTGATTCGAATGAATGAACGTATAGAAACAATCAAATAAAATTTATCATTTGGAACAAAATATCGAGTGTATCTAACGGATGTCTCAATAAAACTTGTCACATGTCTTTCTATATAAATAAATGTGAAAATTATTCCAATCCACACACAGACAGACAGACAGACATACACACACACACATACACACATGTACGTACGTACGTACGTATGTAAATGATAGCAAAGCAAATTTTTATATACCAAAAATATATATAGATTCTCTAAACAGTTTTCAATGTACTCTTGACGTATCTAAAACCATGAAATTAATATTGTCTCATGTCTATAATGAGAGAAAAATCATTTTAATTAGATGACAATTTCTTTACTTTAATTTAACTTCGAAAAGTACGAAAAGAAAGGGGGAAAAGAAAAAAAAAAAAAAAAAAAAAAAGAAAAAAGAAAAAGAAAAATTTGTTTTTCAAAAATTAAGAAAAAGTAAAGATCCAACGAACGATTTTTCTTTCGTTTCTATTAATTCCATCAATAGAACTAATTAACTTATAAAGTAAAAAGATGAAAGATTAAAAATTAGATTGGAATAAAGACGATCGACGTTGTCCTTACCGAAGATAATCATTACGAGAGTTAAATTATTTAATTAAATATTTATCTGTTGATAAATGTGATTTCAAAAAAAAAAAAAAAAAAAAAAAAATTATGATTATTAATTATGGACGATAATAATTAAGTTCGTTTGTTAACTCACCGATTGGCACGTTGACAGCAAAAAGAAAGACAAGAGCGCGATAGCAGAGCATCGTGCACCAATCAGAATCAGCTGTTGATGATTCCTCTCGTCTCTCTTGATGATGTCTTCTAAGATGAAGACAGGTCTTTCTTCTTCTTCCTCCCTCTTTAACCTCCCACTTCGTCTTCTCACACACTCTCTCTCTCTCTCACACACTCTCTCACTCTCTCTCTCTCTCTCTCTCTCTCTCTCTCACTCTCTCACTCTCTCTCTCTCTCTCTTTTATTTTTTTTCTTTATTTACTTAACCACATCATCTTCCACGCGAGCCACCGTCGTTGATTTTTTTGACGCATAACATGC